AATAATCTGTATTATTTTTCAACAGGGTCTCTTCAGAAACTTCGGCGATGCATTTTTAGATTTGATTAAGCCTCGCCTTGAACGACTTTGTATAGACTCGCAGGTAAGTCAAAACCTTTTGCGTTTAAGTCGTTACTAGGGACTTTAAGCAAACCACAACGGTGACAACAACGAAGAGTAATAAGCAAAGATCAAATAGGTAGAGCAATAGCTCAGCGCGTTTCTTAAAACTTTGTAAATCTCTCAGCCGTACTCTGCTAAGCAAGAACGTGAAATCACCTAGATTTGCGTGGGCCGAGAACGGAGCAAACTATTTAAGTTTCCTTTGGGCTCACATACATTTTGTTGAAGTTGAGGTGTAGCGCCAAAAACAACAATAAGCGCTCCCGCCTATTCGCGGAATTCCAACCGAACATACAAATTCATTTTTCAGTCGACTTCTCTCTCGGCGTTGCCATCCTGACTGCTCAAAGTCCTTACTTTAATGTCAAGAATGCCTTAAATTATATTTTATTCCCTTTTCCAAACAAAGCCATGCTGCTGGTTTATTTGTTGATTTCAGGAGAGCAGCCAACGTTGTGCTGTAGAAATCATCGCCGCTGTCATACGGGGATGCAAACACTGGAAATTTGAAACGGTATCTAACGACGTTAACTCTGTAAAGGAGGACTTCATCAGATTGATGGGGTCGCCCTTGTAGTTTTTCAATCACCTAAGTGAAAAGATCTAGAAGTAAACATTCTATTCACAGCCTTCTTCATAAGCGACATTTATTTCTTGTCAGGATGATTGATTGCCGTTGTCCGAATACGTGAGCTTTCTGAACCGTAAGATTGATCAGTATCTAATTTCTCCTTACATTGTCACCCCCTCAATCACACATCAGGGTCATGAGAATAAAGCAAATGATCTCATCCTAACCAAAGCTCTTGAGTTTTCAACATCTTCTCCTTGTCATCAATCCCTTGGAGTTGTATGGAGAACAGTAGGGAGAATAAGCGTACTGAAAGCGTATAAAGGATTAATTAGTTCTTATTGACCGAGCGGGAGGTCTGTATGGGAGAATCTTGACCGAGGTCGCCAGTACAGACCGAACGCAGTGAGGTCTGTACCAGCGACCGAGGTCAAGATTCTCCCATACAGACCGACCTAGCTCGGTTAATAAGATGTTTATTATATGGCTGTGTCTTATATGCCAATTTTTTATATTCTTTGTACCTTTTTTTTCTAGACCGGTCTAGATGCCGGTCTAGATGGGAAAATCTAGACCGCTTTCAATATTGATTTCAGCCAATCAAATTCGTGAATTCGGTAGTTCCCAGTCCTTGTGAGACACAGCCATATAATAA